ATTTGTTGAAAATCCCTAAGGTACTTAAGTGTCACTTGCCCATATGATTAGCCTGCACTGAGAAAAGAGTTTAGTTACGTCAACTAAATATGTTTTTATCAACACATGGTTTGGTTATAGTTACATTATTTGTTTACAGTTACCAAATCATGTGTTGAGAGGAATATATTTGGCTGACTTTTTTCTGAGTGTGTGCTAAAAAATAGTTTTTCACATTTTTTTGACAAACGTGTAATTTTGAGTTGTGTCACTTTTGAAGATCGAGTGCGATATGTTCAGTCTCACATATAATTCCCTAAAAATGGCGAAAATATATGTCTTTCCATCTGTATTTTTTATATGAACTATGTACGATCGATTATGGATGGATCAAAACTAGATTGCAATTTCCCACAAAATTTAAATTTCGAATTGGTTCTCTTTATTATTAAACTTGCGATGTGATGGAATATTGGCGTGGAAAAGCATTGGTGCTGGGTCGAGCAGTGGCGATTGCCATATGCAAAATTTCGAGGAAAAAAAAATGAAAAACTGTTTGGTTTTAAATATCTTAACGCATGAACAAAATCGAATTTTTTCACGAAAATGCGAAACATCCTCGCAAAAAAATATTAAAAACAAGCGGTTTTTGTTAAACAATAGAAACTAAAATTAAATGCGCTATTGCGTACTACTAATTTTTCTAAAATTCTGATTAAAAAGTTAAAGATTTTGCTGGCGATTTTTAATTTAAACTTTTTTAAATGACTTCTTTTATAGATCGATCTTCAAAGATGACACAACTCAAAATTCGTCCTCAGCACATGCTAATCATATGCACAAGGTAGACTTAACCTTAGGTTTTTAAACCAATTATAAAAAAAAATTGCACCAGCTTTTGCTGAAGGGTAAATAAAAACTCTGTATACATTTTTAGCGCATAATTTCAAAAATGGCAAATTTTGAACTATAGCACTTTTGAAGATCGTTATAATTTTTTAAATTATTAAGTATTATTTTTTTATTAATTTTTT